AGTTATAACTTCAGGGCGATATAGCAAGATGGAAAAAAGATCGGTTCAGATGTAGAACTCACTAAGTCCAATAGGATGCCCCATGACTTTGTAATCGCGAAAGTTCAGCTTTATTAAACGATTTAGCATCTCATCTTTAGGTATGATAGCTGCAGAGAAGGCGGAAAACCGCTCAGGAGATACTACATTTTGATCTTCTGGTATCTGTAACGATGCAATTACTCAAATCCATCTTCAGATTAGCAGCGCTTGAGGTGTGTCAATCCATAAAATACGCTAAAGTTCCAAAATATTTGGTTGAAATAAAGTGCTTGAGCGAATTTGAAACTTTGTATAATTCTCGATAAAATTTCAAATTTTAAGCATCAAGTCTAGTGGATTTCGTCTAATTCTAGATTTATAGACAAAAGCTAAGTTTGAACGAACAGGTCTAATGCATGTGAGAAAGCGGTGAGCAACTTAGCAGCAACATCATATGAAACGATATCAAAGTTATAAGTCAGATTTTACAAAGCAGCTCTAAGGTTGATTGAATCACCGCGTTGATCGGCATAAATGATCAACTAAATAGGCTGATGAACACCGTGTTCTGAAAGATCACTGCAATAAACAATGCAGTATGTTGTTACCACTGGATTTTTGACTCTTGTAGCAAGACTGATGCATCAACACTGGTAAAGAATACGAAATTTTAATGTCCTTTAAAAAAGGAGACGATCTCAATGCATAAACTAATCTATTAGATACTCAAACGCAAGTATATGAATAGAGACATCAAATTTTGCTGGAAAGAGATTGGAGTTATGTTTGAAAAAAAATGTCAAAGAATATAATATGCTGCAGTCCAATAAAATCACTTTACAGTGCATTCCTGAAAGACCGCGGGTGGCAATAGCTTTGATATGTATTGAAAGCAATACCTGATAGCGTATTACGGGACCAATTTCGATGTCAAATTCCGCATAAAAAATGGCTATGAGCTTAGGGACATCAGCGAAACGATAGTGCCCAAACAGACCTTCCAATGGCAGCGAACTTGTACCATTCCCATGAGGTATGTACGAGTTTAAATCGGAGGCCATAGAATCTAAAAGAAAAAGATGTCCGTGAAAAAGCACAAAAAAGAGTCAAAAGTAGTACCTAAGGCAACTTTTCTCTACAGAAGCGACGGAAAATCCACTGGATTTCACCTATGCACGCACCCAAAACCCAACCACACGTTGCACCAACAAAATTTGGAAACGGATAACGCTAAGATGACTAAATCTCATAATCGTAACAAATCTATTGAATTACCTGCCACCAGCGATCCCAGTCTAGAGGAATCACAAATGCTCCCAGCCAAGCGCCAACTACGGCTCCAAAAATAGCTCTGTGAGCTAGAAGCTCTGCGAACGTTTTCCACCTGGAAAATGACCTTCTTGTCTCATCATAGTAGTCTCTTTAGCAATGTAGCTGTTCAGCTATGAGAGAATA